GCGTGACACAGCTCGGTTACGAACACATTACTCGGTTACACTTTTTATAACAAGTGAACACTGTTCACGTCCCAAATGTCTACCCTCTGTGTCCCCCACTAAAATTGCGGACTGTTCGCTGGCAGCTATGGATCCGTGCGCCCGCCAATTCATTCGGCGCACGGATCCATATAGCTGCCAGCGCTGCATACTGTCGTAGGACGTTCCCGCGGTCGCGTGCGCCTTGCCGCGGAACTGCGCGAAAGATCTGCGCTTCAGCGCTTCGGATCAACATCTCGTTTCGCGCTTTCGGCAACGCTTCTCTAGTATCCCGTCTCATCTGGATAGACTTTTATAGACAGATTTTACTGAATATATCTATTTTGTGATTGAAACTGACCTACCTTTATTATGACATCAAAATAACCACGCTCCGAAACGCCACTGATGGGAGTGTACTGCCGTGTTAGGGTTCGACCACCAAACTTGCCCCTATAATATTTAGCAATGTCAGTAGATTCCTTCTTCCTTTGAAAATGCTAATTACAAACATAAACAATACAATATATTATCAATATTATAGCGCTCCGAAGTGATGACGTCACGGTGCCACGACAACAAACCCACTGGTACTAAACAATCATTGGCTCCATTGGATACATAACATTAACTGCGTGAAAATGGCGTCGTGTTTTGTACCCGATTGTAACCATCATTCCGAGAGTCATTATTGCGGTTTTTATAGATTTCCAAAGGATGGAAGTGAAAAGCAACGATGGATTAAGTTGATAAGGTATTCAGATGTTTTTTTTCTAGGCATTTTGATGATGAAATCAATGTTGTAAGATCGACTTGCTACCGATGCTTTACCGCTGTCTGCAGCGCACACACTCGTGTTTTACGTACGCATAACACCATTTTCATGCAATTATGCAAAACAACAGTCACGCTCACAGGTCCATCCACCTTATAACTGATATATTTAATGCATATTTTAATATATTATCAATCTTGTCTCACACATGTTATATACGTTTTATGTCTTGTTACTGTAAGAAACAAATTAATTAACCTGAGAATTAGATGTTGTCCAGGATTAAGATGCAGGCTGCCTCCATTTGGAATATTAAACCTGAAGATATTGGTGTCCGGCGAAATGGCAGATAAACTAATGAGCTGAAAGCTTGTATACTTTGCTTTATCCAGAAATTTCTGAAATTAAATTTTAAACAGATAATTAGATTTTAAGGTACGATGGCAGATTGAAACTTGATATTCACCATATCTGGAAAATGATATATTTGGATAACAATTCAATGTGTAGTTCTATATGTTATAATGATATGTTTCATTTTTTTAATTAATCCTATTTTGGCTGGAAGCTTTATCCACCTTGAGGAGCACTGATAAAAATGTGAAAACCCAGCAAACATGATCAGATCTAACCATCCTAATAACCATACCTGAGTATCTATAATTACCTGCTTGTCACAATGAGTAGTGGGATCCTGGTACTTTAAAAAGCCACACTGTTTCTTCCAAGCAACTACCTCCTGCTCATAGATATCAAATACACAAGGTGTACATCCCAAACCACAGCAGTCCTCTACCATGGGTTCCAAAGGCTTACTTGACAAAACGATGCCATCACAGTCCGATGTCTCAGTATTTACACCTGGAGCTTGGGCATCTACACTACTAGTTCCTTCCATGCAAGATGAATATCATCTTCTACATGCGGATGTATAGAATATCATGACTGCAATCGACCTATTATGCCTGTACATGACCTGTAAACAAACAAAAAACAAATCTTTATGCGCAATGAATTTACATTTTGCCTATCTTCCAACTCTACGATTGTCATGACCATTGCATTTGTGATTAAGCGCACCTATGTTAGTTCAATCATAGCTATATGCAACATTCTTGGTTTTCATTTTGCAAACAATGTTCACTTACATATTACTTCTGCTATATTTTTTTTTATTACGCATCCAAGCATTCATTCGGCAAACATCAAGTTGTATTATAAATGTCAAGAAATGTGTAACCTCCTTTGGCAACAGCTAAGTGTTCCCTGTAGTGGGGAAGTAGGGTTACACTGGGAGAACTACATGCAGTTTAGCCACGAGTTACCTTCTCACGTCTTACAATGTGGTGAGAAGGTCACCAGCAAATGTACATTTGAGGTTAGCAACTGAACCTTGTAGCTAACAAAGCACTGCACACATAACAAAACGTACCAATGCCTAACTTCTGATGGCTGTTACCGCTTCTCTGTACTTCCAGACCGTTACCCATACGTGCGCAATCCCCAAGTATGTATACTATTTCATGTCAGTGAGCATTTTTGAGATTTGATATGGGAGAAATTCGAACAAGGCGGCCATGACTGTTTGAATTCTGCATGCTTTTTGCACTCTCTCATCAGTATCAGATTAGTGCCTGCGAATGCACTGCAATGCAAGTATGGAGTGTGGAAGCTTTTCAACTCGTTTCCAAATTGTCCGATTACAACATGAATACCAAGGCAATTACCAAGTTAAGAAGTGAGCCATAATTGAGAATATAATTCCAGCATGTATGATGTAACAAGTTAGGTCAAGCGTGGTAATACGATCGTTTTATTTACAAAATTCGGCATTTGTTTTCAAGCTTATTTTTTGTATGAAAGGGTGTCAGCCTCTTACGACGTGAAACAGTCGTAGAGCCTGGTCAGGGTACATGCAGTTCAGCCTAGACTAGTGTCAGAGTCCGCCCCAGAGTCTGAGAGTCTGGCTGGAGTAATGCAGAGCACAGGCATTTGTAGCTCTAGTACCGAAGCCCTTGTTGCCACAGGTAGCTCTAGAACTATAGCCATTTGCTCCACCACAGAGCTATAGCACAGACTATGTTGAAAATGGGCAACGAAATTGCTCCCCCTTCTCCCATGAGGAACCGCGCCCTGAGAGCAAACAACGCCGCCCCTTCGATCGCCTTTAACAGCTTCCCCATATCGGGGGTCTGAAACGCTCTTCGCGAAAACGGGGCCCACAGCATCGGCGATTTCGCGCTGGACGAACAGAGGCAAGTTCCAAACGGTATATAAAGTATGTTTGGCATTCGCGCGCATCTAAGATAAGGCGCATTTCCTTAAAGAAGTCGGCTAGCTCGCTCACGTCAATCACTACGCCCACCGAATGCCAATCACGATGTTCATTCGGTGACGTGGCCGCTAGCCGACCAACATGCCGCGTCATGCGCCCAGAGTTTTTACACGAGCGGCAGCAGCGTGCTTAGCCATGCTCTGTTGCTGGGAAAATTTCCAGTGATCATTAATGACCGGTACTCTAAACCCGGCCAGGCCGGTGCTGGCCAGTGCAGCGCGTCTGTTTATAAGCGTTGCTAAGTAACTCTTTTGTAAATACTAGTAGACAAGTTCTGCATTGATCATCACGTTACGGTCCACCGCAGCTAGAGATACTAGAGGCGTCCCCCATAGGAGGCGATGATCCGCCTTGCGTTTACGTGTACTAACATGTTACACTTACCTATCTGATCGGACCTAGGTACGTCGTTTTACTCTCTCATTTCTCTTCCATTTTGTGTGTGCGTGTGCGTGTGCGTGTTATCTCCTCAACTGACCAGTGAAAAAAATACACGGGGGCTCAGGGCGATTTAGCCCCAAAATGCCAAAAAGAGCCCCGGAAATGCCAAAAAGAGCCCCCGTAAATTTGCATAGAGTTCAATGCAAACCAAATTTTAGAGTGCTATTTTCATGCACGCGAGCTTGAAAAGTAGCCCACAAACAGTAAGCCTCCGCAATTGTTCACCGTTGCACTATATCGTCTCTAGAAAATGCCTTTTTTAGCATTTTTTTCCGCAGAAATTCGGCACTAGAGTGCAATAATTTGCATTATGCACGCAAATTAGATGCCTCGTGGACGTCTAGGAAGCATTAGAAGTAAAATTGGTCGTGTTGTGTAATTGTGCCATTCCAGCTAGTGGCGTAGCCATGGTCGCCGGTCGGCCATTTTTGTGTATGAAACGGGATCCGACTACTCTGTAGAAATTCGCATCATAGAGCTGGCAAAAGTTTCGAGCGGAGCATAGAGCATGAATCTGGTAGTTATTTAACATGAATAAAGTGTATGTTGTGTAAGCGCAGTAACACTACTAACAGTGTGAGTATTTTTAATTAATTTCTGTTCGATGCTTATTCAGGCCTGCCGCCTATGGACGCCCTCTACTGGTGTTCAACACCTCCAGGCTCGATATGGATCCGTGCGCCGGCCTTCGAATTTTGCGTACGGATCCATATACTACTATTACTAGTGGCCAGCGCTTACATTTTCGTAGGACGTGCCCGCGGTCGCGTGCGCCTTGCCGCAAAACTGCGCGCAAGATCCGCGCTCAGGATCAACACCTGCCTTTGGCGACACTTCTCTAGTATCCGGTCTCTTCTGGATGTATGAATCTATGACCGTTTCTTGGAGCATACCGTACCCTAGATACAATAATAAAACCCAAACCCAGGATAGGGTAATATGATGGAATAATAGGGTATATAATGTAACCCCTATCCTGGGTTTGGGTTACATTATTGTATCTAACCGTACCCGGTGATATACTACCGACCATCATCATTTTATTATTGAAACTTTCAGTGTCTAGACTCTAGCGAATACTTACTGTAAACAACATCTGACGATAATTGATTTAAATGCAGATTTACGTGCTACCATCATTTATGCACAGGGTCAGGACTGAATAATAACATTTAAGATAACTCAGCTCAAATATATTGTTTTCAATCAAAAATAAAAACTTGAGTACTGCTTTCATTCCGAACTCACGCTACCCATATGCGCTACCGTTGCCCCATCTCTTGGTCGAAAATAAAGAATATTTTTCGATCACCCAGCTTTTTGTGGCATGGATCTGCTATACTTAGCTTGGATTTTTATTTTACGGTGTGACTTTTACGAAAAAAAGAATTTCTGAATAATCTATGTAAAGGGAATTTTTCTTATAATTATACTGTATGTAAATTTGATTTAATGTGCGTGCAATGGATTTCGGGTAATTTGCTTCTCACCAACGCGCGAAACGCAAACCCGAATTTTTTTTACGCTGAGTTTGTTTACAAAATGATAGACAATTTCATGTATCAGCATTTACTTTAATTAACAATCGTTATACAGCTACATATTAAGAATAGATTCATGACAAGACGCATGCAGTGCGAAACTAAAATTAACGCTGAAACGGATAACTGTCTAGAAGAGGAAGACACGTACTGGAAAGTGTTTCCGCGGCAAAAGTTGGCATTTGAATGTGTCACTGCCACTAGGAAAAACACACAGAGGGTATATTATTGCTAGTAATTGGCTGGTAGTGGTAATTATCTCAAGCTTACATTTGTAATGAAATTCTATTGTACTTTTGAATCCTGGTGGTGGAACGAACCTAACCCAACGCTGGCTTCAAGAATTTGTCGGAGAGCGTTTAACTTCTCGATGTTGTTCTTCTAAGACTAGTACTAGTAGTAGTAGTACTACTAGTAGTACTAGTAGTACTAGAAGTACTAGTAGTACTAGTACTAGAAGTACTAGAAGTACTAGAAGTACTAGAAGTTCTAGAACTAGTAGTAGTACTAGTAGTAGTACTAGTAGTAGTAGTACTAACTAGTACTAGCTACTAGCTACTAGCTAACTAGCTAACTAGTACTACTAGTAGTACTAACTAGTAGTAGTACTAGTAGTACTACTAGTACTAGAAGTACTAGTAGTACTAGTACTAGAAGTACTAGAAGTACTAGAAGTACTAGAAGTACTAGAAGTTCTAGAAGTACTAGAAGTACTAGAAGTACTAGTAGTACTAGTAGTAGTAGTAGTACTACTAGTAGTAGTAGTATAAGTTCTACTCTAGTGTCAGTAGTAAAGTTGTTGCCACTTGCCAGCCAGAACCACTGGCAGCAAGAACAAGTCGGCACCTGGAGCTACAGCACACACTCGGCTAGTTATATATAACAACTATATATATATAATTTATATATATATTAATATATAGTCAATGGCCGCGTGTGTGCTGTAGCTGCAGGTGCCGACTTGTTTTTGCTGCCAGTGGCCAGAATAATGCGTAACCCTAGCACTATACTATTGCTGAAGGGGTCGTTGTCGTATCAGGTACTACAGATATGTACCCGATCGCGGTACATATATGTATACACAAAGTGTACCAGACTTGTACTACAGAAGTGTACCCTGACCCTAACCCTAGCCCTAACCCTAACCCTAAACATACCTCATATAAAAATATAAACATAATACTAACCAACCTAAAACTACCTCGGGTACATATCTGTAGTACCTGATACGACAACGACCCCATCTGCACTACTATCTCTAACTCTTAATTAGCCTGACCAGGCTGTGCGACGAATTGTCTATACATTCTAACCCTAGCAATACCGTTTCTTGGAGCTAACTCTTACTGTATCCCTAACCTATAATCAACAAAATGCTATCAAGTATAATTAAAATTATGGCTGCTAAAGTAGGATTGAATTGCATAATTATAAGATGGTCTTAATTCATACATGATACATACCTAATTCATACATGATACATACCTAATTAATTATGATGCCGAGTCTGAGAGCTGCGCATCTCTGCATAGTCTCTTGCTTCAGTTCAGGTTCCTCGTGTAGAGCAGAGACCTCACATATACCTCTGGATGTAGATCTGATGTAGATTTCCATATCATTAAAGTCACCAATCTATCATGTCATACTCTCTGGTTCTACTTTAATTGTTCATTGTGATAGTTTCAGTTTTACAATGTAACGAGACATTTTTTTTGCAAAAACCCCACGTCAACCACTTTTAAAGGATTGATATAAATAAGGAATCCAGTGACACTTATTAATTCCCTAAATATCTCGCAGAAGTGTCTGTGGTGTTTGACCCTCATTGGTCCATGCTGTTGTGGCCATATACCTCAACGTACGATAATATATGGTGTTCGGAACTTGTAATTATAATATACCGATGTATTAATCGATGATGTATTAATCTTAGAAACAAAGGCTTCATGTTTTTGCATTCGAGTATGGTAGCTTGTGCAGCGGATCCCGGAAATTCCTCGTCACATCGCTCAGCCGGTTCTGGAAGTTCTATTGGTAAGCCCTATGAAAACTTCAATGAGGTCTACCTCAATTGTTTATGTAATCAAGGGCGTAGCCAGGAATTTGGATTGGGGGAGGGGGCCTCGAGCAAGTAACAAGGGGTGTCTGGTGGTCCTCCCCCAGAAAATTTTGAAAATGTAGATCGCAGGAGATTGTATTTGAGGCACTTTTGAGTCATGTACAGCCTTCATTCTGACTACGACAATTCTATTTTTAGTGGAACAATTCTTCTTTTCTTTTCTTTTTTTAACTTTCGGATCAACAAGGGGCCAATGGCCCCCTTTGGCCCCCCCTAACTACGCCAATTTTTTAACATTAATTTTTTTAACGAGGCCAGGATAAGGCCAGCTACTACGCTTTTTTTTGGATTTTGATTTTGATTGGGGGGGTCCTAGGGCTCCCATGACCCCCCCTGGCTACGCGCTTGTATGTAATGTATACAGTAGAGAGCTAATTGCAGGTAGCTATACGTATATACCTTGTATTGCATTTTTGTTTAATGTTGCTAATAAAATGTCCTTTAAAAATAGGGATTTGCGTTCAACTGAGAGACATTACTATGAAGTTATCCCAGAGGGAGCCAAGTCCCGTCTATATTTTGACTTGGAATTCAGCTTCGTCCACAATCCAGATAAACAGGGTCCTGCAATGGTAGATATTTTCATTAAGGTATGCACCACTGTGAACTTTTGATAGAATTTACTAGTATCATAAAAAAATACAAGAATTCGAAAGATGCATTATGTTCTGCTGTTACTACTGTGCTCCTCATGAATGGTAATGTCTTGTGTTATCTTATAGAAATGGTAATAGTAATACTCCACACTTTAGTTTAGTGTATTTTTAGATCAGATAAGTGTTATTAGTGGTAATAATCTTAGTTAAAATTATGTGATTTTTCTAATTATAATAATAATATTTTTATTTATTTAAGTATGTCTGCAAGCATTTGTTGGAAGCATATGGTCTCCACTGTGATCGAACCTTAGTTCTGGACCTTGACGCTACAACTGTGAAAAAGTTCAGTCGCCACTTGATATTCCATCTTCCTTGCCAAGCAGTATTTAAGGATAACATTCACACAGGTCAGTAATGAGCGAATGTCAGTCAGTTAAGGTCACTTTAAGGATGTTATAGCTAAGTATTCTCACGCTATTTTACATAATGACTGAGTATATTTCATAGTGCACCTCTTCTTATTAGTGGCATGGCAATTGCAGAGTAAGTGTTTGCCAGTGATGTGATGTGACAGGCCTTTCACGCAAACAGTCCTAGATCCACATAGCATACACTACAAGTCGGTATAGTGGCTGTGTTTCCCACTAGCACCTTATCTGCACATGCTGCACTCCCAGTTCCGTCGTCTCTTTAAACGATTTCTGCCTGTCTTGCAGGAAATTTTATTCGTCGGATATGCGATGCTCTTAGACTGGAAATCAGTTTTTACGAAAATACACTGCTTCTGTCTCCGAAGTGCACACGTCACTCCGTGCGTTGTACATGTTCGGTAAAATGTGATGCTTCTACAGTGTGTGTAAGCAGGTTTCCCATGGCAAAGGAAAATCGCGTAGAACATGAGAGTCCACCTCAGGAACCCATGTTACACTCCACTCCGAAGTATAGCAGTAGTAGTACTTGTATACAACCTGGACATGAGGGTATATCCTCAAAACCAACTACGGAAAACACGTGCTCTTGCAAGAAGAATTGTGTTTGCAATCAGAAGAATTTTAGTTCTAAACATCACAGAAGTCTTGTGCGCAATTCTGCTTCAATGTCTACGTGTTTGCAGCAGAAAGATGCCGACGATGATATTGCTTCTATGAGCACGTCTGGTGCGCCTGTGGATCATGACTGTCTTTGCAAGGCACGCGAAACTGCTGTCTTGATTCCCATGGTCAACTCTAGTTTTAATCAAAGTGAAGATCTTTTCAGTCCGCAGCAAGTGAACTCGACAGTACGTGATATGAAGACTGTGACAGGCACTCCGACCAATAAAACCTCACTAGAGCAACATCAGTGTACACGTGTTAACACATCCGAAATTACTACTCCTGTCCGTGATAGCACTGGCGACGAAAGTCGAAAAACCTTGTTCGAACATGATCGAGCATGTGATAATGGACCGTGTGAAAAGGTCAATACAGAAAATTTGTGCACACAGTGTGAACTTGTGCCATTGCAAAATGGAAACGAACAAGGTGACATCTGTCAGGGCTGCCTACAACAACTACTGGTCATGGACAAGAATGGTAAACGTGTACTATTTTGTGACGAAGGTGAGTGTGTTTAATGTATTTTACAAGCAGTCAGAAGTTCGGAACGTAACTTTAAAATGAGTGTTGAAATGATTGAAAGTATAAGTGATGAATTATTACCCAGTAGGGCAATAAAGGAAATGCATGCATTTAATAGGATACTGTGTCATGTGCTTAAACATATGTTAAAGGGTTGCAGTCCACAATAATACTTGTGTCTATGATATGAGCCAATAAAATATGATATAATAGTTATTCTAACCAGTTTGTTCTAATCGCCAGGCGTTTACACACGGAACAGAAATTTTCGGCTGTACTTATCAAGCAAGCTGAAGCAGAACAACCCTCTTGTGCTGTCTCCCGATAATCAGTTTGCAGCTGGTGATGTGAGGCAAGGAAAGGGGAAACAACAAATGGAAGAACTGACCTTTCTCCAGTCTCTCGTAACCAATGTAGAGTGAGTGATGTTTTCTGAGTACACATCGTTTAACAGCTAAAAACATCAAAGTTTTAGGTTTTTAAATGTAAACTAAAAGTTACATTTGAGCTTGCATATAACATATAGACACAAATATTTCTAATATATCTAAAACAAAAAATTGAATCAAAAAGATTTTGCATATCAAGATATTGCTATCTACCTAAATTCCTGTGAGCCTGAGTAGTATTTCTTCGTTCGTATCAGGTGCACTGCAGAGACCCGCATTCTTAACTGTGACAGAGAGCAGTCCCAGAAACGGTACGGGAATGAAGCCTATCCTGCACAGGCTAGAGGTACACCCACGACCAGTGAACCTTCGCGGATCATCATCATCATCATCATCATCACCACCATCATCATCATCACCATCATCATCGTCACCATCATCATCGCCACCATCATCATCGCCACCATCATCATCGTCACCATCATCATCATCATCATCATCATCATCATCATCACGGATCATCATCATGTCATGTGTATTACTTAACAGGTGGACAGGAACATCTATATTGCCCTACCGGTTGTATTTCCGTGCAGCATGCAATCCAATGCTTGAAAGTTTCGGTAACCGTTTCTGCATATTTAGCCACACACCGCTGGCTCCAGGGCATTTCGATCACACACTGGTGCTATACCATTACCATGACACATAATATATCAGTGCCTCATGGATGACTCTAGACCTACCTATGCTACCTCGTCTTTTTTACTACTTAGTGACTATATCAGGAAGAAATCGCGGGTTTTCTCCCACCCAATTAGTCACTCGCGACTAAACGTAACGATATTTACGGTGTTCAATTTCAGACGCGGTGGAGGGTTATGAGCACTCGCCGTTTACGGAAGTCGACTGCTTCGTTGAGAAACTGATCGCAAGGAACGGCAGACGCGGGCACGTGCGACGCTGGGTCTACTTCGCTCGCACCGAACTGCTGAGCTACGACATTGCCGGAAACAGATACTGCGAGAACATAAAGAGGCAGCACAGGAGCAACAACGTCAGGTGAGTGATAATTAAAATTGCGCTTTTACAGTTTATAGTGATCATCTAGACAGAATGTGTGCATCCTATGTGTACATTTGTTCTCGGCAAATACTAAACTTTTTATGTGTAAGAGTATGATTTTTCACTAAGATCGTCTTATTTTACTCAATATTCCCTCACGCTGACTTATAAAAAAATACTTGAAACCATCTTGAATTCACATTTCAAACCAAGTGGTGTAAACTTCCTAATATCCGTTATAATTAATGAGAGGATGCAAACATCAGTGTTTGTTTGGCATCTTGCAAATATCTCAAGTCACCATTGCAATAGTTATTGCTAATTAGATGGGATTTACTTTTTTGTGCAATTACAGGATTGTTGTTGATCTGAAAAATGGAGTTTACTACCAGAAATGTTATGATCCTGAATGCCAAAGGCAGAATTTCAAGTCACGAGGTATATATACACTGCACTTACATTTTATGATGTCAGTATTTCAGCTTTTAGCCTTATATTCAGGATAACAAGATTCCTGCCTTCAGCATTAATTTCAGTCATATTAGGCTTTACGTATATGCTACAGAAATGATAATGAACAACATTTATTGAGGCAGTTGATGTGCTTATTTACTACACTCAATTACCAGAATGCTCAAATATTGAGTATCCTGCTTGCTAATAAAACCTGGAATATTGGTATCCTTTATTTAACAAGTGTCTTATCTATTATCACACACCATATGTGACCCGCTCCAGCAAAACCAGGATTAAGTAGTAAATTCTACAAAATGAGTTATGTGCATATCTGAATAGATCATTTAATTACCTTTAAAATAATATATAATATTTGGCTATATCTAAAGAATTGACTGATCTACAGCAATTTGAAGATCGGAAACCGACTTATTCCGGAATATGCAGCTTTTGAAATAAAGCGTTCCGGGTAAGGGGCCCAGTCGGGGCTGAGCGGTCAGGAGCCCTTTTTCAATTTTTTTTTTTTTTAATTAAAAATGATTATAATAATCTAGAGATATCTGAACCTATATATCCGGATTAAATATGCACTTAGGAACTTATTTTGGTAAAAATCTCATTTTTGTCCAAGTAGGCCATTTTCAGCATTGACATGTGTGCGTGCCCATTACTCAAAACAATGACTTGCGACTTAGTCCGTATTATGCTGGAGCGGGTCACATATATGATAGATGACTAGAAATAAATCTGAAATAGAAATGATAAAAGCATAGCCTTCTTTTCCTCAAATCGATCACATAACATGTGTTCTCATCCAAAATTCTAAATTTGTTTCAGAGTGGAGCCTGCCTATTGAAGTGATCCCCATGTTTCTGCTGGAACAGGACTCTGGCTTTTCTATGGACAAATTTGGTCATCTCAAAGTAACAGATTTAGAGAGAGACGGCCCAACAGTTGGTGACCAGAACTCGGAACCTGAACACCCAGGTCTTAAAGATCAGGATGAAAGTCTCAATAACAAGCCTTCAGATCTCAGGAACACAGTTATAGTTCCTGATAACCATGCTGCAGATCTTAAGAACACAGTGATAGTTCATAAGAACCATTCTACAGATCTCAAGAATACGTGTGTAGTTCCTGATAATCAAGATGTGGTTGTCAAGGGTGCAGATCTGCTACAGACTATCGAGCGAATGAAACTTGTTTCTGATTGAGCTTGATGACAATGACAACTGAAGAATAGTCACATAACAATATTGAAGCCAGAAGGTTCACACAGTTGAAGGTACAGAGGTTACAGAAGTTACATTTATCAACAAGCACCAGACTCAGCTGCTCAAGGGATTTTTGGACGTGAGGTTGGTAGTGTGACTGTGTGTGAACGTATGTATTTTTTCAGAGCCAAAAAAGTTTGAATGAGTTCTGGCTTAGAGCGGTTATAAGATAAGGTTACGGATGTAGGATTTTACAATGGAGGGGGCTGAAATCATAGATGTACACTTGGTTGCAATGATTATGCAAGTGCTTTAGGTGTAAATATTTGCATATCATGATTGACAAACAGTTGTTATGGATTGTATTTAATTATCACACAGGATTATAAAGTCCATATTAAAAAGACAGAAGAAAGCGTAATTTGTTATTTAGTATAGCCACCTTATTAATTTCAGTGTTTCTACATACTTCTTATTGCTCTCTGTAATAATCTCTCTTAGATTATCGTTTGGACCGCAATACCGAAAAATCTTATCATAATATAAACGTATCTATTACAGTATTAGCAAAAACACATAGTACAAGCATGAGAGATAAATCGATGTACATTCAATGAATGTCAAACATCTGTTTTCAAACCATTTGCCAGTGTTAGCATAGGTTATTTTAACAAACTTTCAATTACATAAGCAACTAATATGAACAACACAGACTTACCGACATACATTTTCAAACAGCAATAGAAAATTACAATAGAATATTTACAAAATGTACATAGTATTATTAGCACCCACTATAAATCTAACATTAATCCCATTTAAAAATGAAAGTTTAAATACGAGAACGTATACACACACAAACATACATATGTATCTATATCTATCTATCTCGCCCTCCCCCCCCCACTCTCTCTCTCTCTATATATATATATATATAATGTATATATATAATTATTATAGTTTCATGTACTTCTTGAAAAGAGAATGGCAATACAAATCCTGTGTTAACCTGCTAGCTACTAGGTTCAACTACAAAGTTAACACGAAATAATTTTGTTAAGAGGAATTTTGTTAATTGAAAGGGATAATGAACCTGTGATTTATAGGGACAAAAATCGGCATGCTTGTATGTATACACAAACCAGAGGATGGCATGTTTACTTCGAGTTACCACGCGCAACAAATTATTAAGCTTCTGCGTGAGCGCTGACAAGGCAGCTTCGGTAACTGTAATGCGGCAATGTGTTAGCTGATTGCTGCAACGTCCCAAGCAGGCGGCATCAATCGTCGGTTGGGTGGGGTTGGGGTGGGGTGGGGGTTCTAGCCAAAATTTAGAGTGCCTGAGAGCAAAGAATAGAACGAATAATAATCTTGGTGAACGTATTGGTTGTAAATTGCAAGGATATTGGTAAGTGGCACCCTCTATTGGTTGTCAATATTAGAGCATGCCCCAACTGAATAAGCTAACACGAATGAGCAGGATGTATGTGGCTGTAACACGTACAACATCACTGATAACAGCTTAACTTACTATTACACGTGGGTAAAGTGACCACATCTTTGGTTTTATAGCAAGCAAGCAATACTCGCTAAATAGCAGAGCAGACTACTGCTCACAGGATGCTATCTGGCAGGTAGCATGAACATATCTATACAGTATATATAGATTATACAGCTACTTTCTATAGATATGTTCATGTGGGGGTAGTAATATAATCTATCAGAAGCCCCTAGCGACTACGAACCAGTCGAAGGCGGTTGCATTGGGTGATTTAATATGTTCGATGTACAGGAAGAAAAGCCAAACCGTTTGCCGTATTGAGCAGATGGGCAGGTCTGCAGCTCAGGGGGAACATACACTTCATATACAATAAAAACTATACGTATAAACACGAACATGTAACTAAGTGATGTTGATTTCATGACGTGATATGTGATTGATAAGTGAAAGATCCCGTAAGATGGTCAGGAAATTATTTACTACTACAGTGGTGCAGTATAATATTTTACTGTTAATTGCTAGAAGTTTTAGGATTAAAGTATTTTACTAAAGCTAGCATATAGTCTCTTGGTTTTTGAAATTGGCTGATAATATACAGCCAACCACAGTGGCTAATTTTTAAAAAGTCGTGGCCTCATTATCATGAAAACTATATGTACAAGATTTGTGCATCAATTTCGAGTGATAGGAGGTGATAGTCGAGAATCAGTGGTTACAAATGTGAAACCTTGTTATGTTAAAGAAAATACACATCTCATCGCTCTATCAGAGAGTCCATTACAGTTTTCCCCTCCCATCCAACTCAATCCCCTCCCTCCCATCCTCCAATAAACAAATGCATATTTTATTAGTCCTCACTTGCCGCTAAAAAATTCAAGTTAGGGTTGAGCACGAGTAACTCTGGAAAAATACTTCAATAAGTAGTCAGTCATCCGAAGATTATTTTCTGACGTACATTTCCTAGAGATATTGGATTGATGCACTATAATAGACATCAATCTAGTATGAAGTGGCTAGGATCTCACTGAAAGCGCTGGTAAATACTTATCAATTGGGTGAGCATAGGCCGATGTCCAATCACGCTCAAAGATTGCCTGCAGTTGCTCTCGAATTGGTTGTCCATTCGGTGATGTTGTATTCCACGATGAATCTGTCTGA